TACGGGAAGGAAGTGCATGCATGCGTTCCTGACTGCCCTCAATTCCAATAAGTTTATGTGGTTTCTTCATGAGTTCATTGACCTTGGACCACCTTGTGATTTGTGTGTACCCCCCCATTCTAGGAGTGAGGCATCCTTCGTTATTGTAATTGATGGTGTGCTGTGTTGGAATGGCACTCCCACACATATGGGTACCATCCACCATGCTAGGGATGATGTTATCTTGTTCAGTATGGACATGCGTTTGTGTAATGAGTGGGTTTGTGGACTGTGTGTAACCAGGCCCGTAGTGGTCTCATGCGTAAGCGAGCATGGGGTACTACGAACGTTGCCGCTGCCACATGCCCCAGTATTTGCAGGCATAGTCTTGCTGTTATGATTGGACTGTTCTGTGTTGTTGCTATCAGGTGCTTGATGGTCACCCATCTGTGGTGAGGCAAGTACGCTCTGGCTTTCGTGCAGTTTAGATGTGCATCTATGAACTCCAGTGATTGTGTTGGGGTCAAAATGCACTTTGTGGTGTTTATTTGTAGACCAAGATTTTTGAAGTGTGTTTCTGCCAGTGTGACTGCTTGCTGCGCTTCTTGTTTTGTGCAGCTTACTGTTAGACAATCGTCAAGATATGGGAATATTGAGATCCTGTTCTTGTGCAAATGTGCAGTGACCACTGCCAGTACCTATGAAAATACTCTGTGATGTTGATAGTCCAAATGGAAGTACCCTGTACAAGAAGTGTTTGTTCTTTATTGTAAAACGTAGGAACTTTCTATGTGCCGGGTGTATGGATATATGGAAATAAGCATCCTGCAGGCTGAGGGTAGACAGCCATGCTCCTTTCTCTAAGGCAGGTGGTATGGCCGCAAGGGTAACCATCTTGAAACGCTAATATTTGATTAAGCAATTGAGCTTGTATAGATCTAGTATTGGTCTCCAACCACCCAACATTTTGGTGGTGAGGAAATAGTGAGAATAGAATCCTCTGCCCCTGTGTTGTTCTGGTACCTCCTCTATAGCATCTAGGCTAAGTAGTAATATCTCATGAGAAGGGTCCCTGAAGAGGGACAGGAAAGGAGGATGGGGTGGAGGGTTGGTTATGAATGGGGATGCAGTCTCCTGTTTTCACTATTTCCAGCACCCACGTGTCAGTAGTAATGGCTGACCATGCTGTATAAAAGTCGGATGAGGTGGATTGCTGCCTGAGATTTCAGGACTACTAGACCCTCGACCAACGCTTCAAAAGTGTTGCCTGGATGTTGACAGTTGTTGGGCAGAGGCTTGGTCAGTGGGCTGTCTGCCTGTTTTATCTCTGACGTTGTCTATCATCATACTGACGTTGGTGTTGATTGAATGACCTGCTTTGCTCTCTTCTCACAACAGGTACCTGAATACCGAAGGTTCTGAGGGTAGCCCTTGAGTCCTTCAAAGTGTGCAGAGATGTATGTATGGACTCTGCAAAGATCTTTGTACCATTGAATGGGAGGTCTTCTACAGTGGACTGAACCTCTCTGGGAAATCCTGAAAGTTGGAGCCAGGAGGCTTGTCTCATTACTACAGCTGCTGCAAGTGATCTGGCTGCTGTGTCCGCAGAGTCCAGCGTAGCCTGCAGGGCAGTATGGGATATTAACATGCCCTCTTTAATGTTTGTTTTAAATTAATCTCTCTTATTGTCTGGCAGTAAGTCAATAAAGATTGTCAATTGGTCAAAGATCTGGTGTGTGTATTTTGCTAATAATGCTGTGTAGTTAGCAAGTCTCATTTGTAGGCGTGCAGATGAGCAAGCCTTTTTTCCCCATTGCATCTAGTCTCTTCCAGTCCTTATCATATGGAGTTGTTTGTGTTGCCTGTTTTCCCCTCTGGTTCACTACTTCTACTACGAGGTAATCTGGTACCAGGTGTGAAAAGAAATTCTGCCCCTTTGGGAGAAACATAGTATTTTCTATCTACCCACTTAGCAGTGGGGGTGGTTGATGCTGGTTTGAGCCATATATTTTTGGCACAGTCCACGATTGCCTCATTCATGGGGATGGCCAACTTTGCTCAAGAGGATGTTTGTAAGCTTGTGTAGTGTCTGAGGCACGTCTGAGACACAAATGTCCAGAGTGCCAGTGGCTCTCTCAGAGAGGTCTTGAAACGACCTAACATCATCACCTGTAGTTGGTGATTGGGTTATGACAGTATCCTCTGGGGACATGGAGGAATTCAGGGTGGGTGGAGAAATGGAGGGGGGGGGGGGAAGAGGAGAAGAGAATCTCTGTTCTTCCCCCATATAATTCACATCTTGCTCCTCCAAGTCTGAGCTGTATTGTTCTATGGTATGGCTGCTTGGCGCCTGTGACCTTAGTGTTGGCTTGTCTGCTGTGGCTGAGCAAACTGTTGCTGCCTACAGACAGCCCAGAGGTCCCAGTATGGCCACTTAGGTATAACCTGGGTTGGGAACCACTGTGGGAGCTACCATTGCTGTTGTGCTCTATGAGAGAGACTTTGCATTAGTTGTGACAATTTGTGACACCCCTCCTGGTTGTCACTGAGTGACGAAGCAATTGAGCTGGCAGGTGAGTGAGCGGTGGCACCGTGAGGCATTTGGGGTATTGCTGGTGTCAAGGAGAAGCGACCCCGGTACGGAGAAGCTGTGGAGCAGGTAGCGGTGGGAGGCTGGAGGCTTGTGGAGTGCAGAGTGGCATTATCAGAAACGCGAGCTGTTTGTTATATGGAAGCGGTGCCAGGTATGCTTGTGGTGCCGCTTTCACTGACTTGATTGTGCTCAGTGCAAAGCAGCGACTACTCAGCGTAGAAACTGGTACTGCAGTTGTTTGGCTCGGTGCCACGGCTGAGGCTTTGCACTTTGTCTCTGGTGGCTTTGGTGAGGAGTGCTGTGGGTGTTTCAGGTTCCGGCTTTTTTCGTTGCCGGTTCACCATTATGTGTTGCCTCTCGTACCACGTCTGCGAGGTTGCCGGTGAGGCATCTTTGTGGGGAGCATGCTCCCTCAATGGGGAGTCAGTCCCTGAGGGAGAATAGGACTGTTTCTTGTTTTCAGTCTTTAGGGCTCGACCTGGTATGCGCTGTTACCTCCAACTCCTTCCCAGGTGATATTTATCTGGGAGGAGTGGATTGCTCTAAGTCCGACATTGACTGAGCTTTTTTCGCTATCTGGAGTAGTTTAAGTTGTAGCTCCCTTGATCTCCTGGATCTGGCTGTGACTTTTTGGCAGTGTGGGCAATGGTCTGGAAGGTGTTGTTTGAGCATGTTTGCTGTCTGGGCAATGTGCCCGTCAGAAATTGAAAAGAATAGCCTGATGCTCGTACACTTTTTAAACCCAGACAAGTCTGGCATATCCCAGAGAGCCGGACTGAGCAGGCTTGATGTGCAGCTTTTAATGCCTGTCGGGCAAGGTGTCTTTTTTTTTTTTTAAACAGACAGATTCCGGAGAGCTGGGTTAGATCAATTAGGAAGGATTTCTGATGCAATTTTCAGACAGAGAAGGAGGAAAGATGCAGTTGAAGGGAGACTGCTGATCAGTGACCGCAGATGATGGTGGTAGAGAAGGAACTGAGGAGGGGGGCCAGCTGTGCATGCACAGCAGCTTCCTCAGAATGCACACACAGACGCTCTGCACACATGGCCAGCCAGGGGTACTACTGTCACAAATCTCTAACCTTGAGCTCAGCTGTGCTGAAGCACCGAAGGTGGAACACCCACGGGGACACTCCTCAAAGAAGATGATCAGGTTTGGGAATAATGAAGAAGCAGGAAAAAGGACAAGGCAATGCAGGTCAGCCAATGACGATGCAAGAAAAAAATTCTTATAGATTTGGTGTATGCTCTGGCACTTTAAAAGAGAAAACTGAATTCCAAGGAATAGTCGATTCCCTGTTCGCTTAAGAGCAGCATGCACAGAACCTGCCTATAGCATTCTAAAAGCACACAAACAATGAACATAGCTATTGAAGTCAGAAGAGATTTCTCTAATAGAATCTATGAGGGGAACAATGCAGAATTTAGTAACCTAAGTTAGAATTCAGACAAGACAATAGGGCTAACACGGCTTCTCCTACAAAAGCTACTAATAAATAAAAACATGTAGGGTCATGCATCCAGATGCTACTTAAAGTAGCTTGAACCAAAAGCATTGGTATTAGCAGCACACTGACACAGGTGAAGTGAAAAAGTGAACTAATCAATTCTGTACAGCATCCCTTCCCCTTGCTACCTCTGTTCCTCTCTACCTTCCCTCAAGTGGTATTTTTCACCCCTTCCTGCTTTTACCATTTTTCCTGCTTTCAAAAGTTTTCAATTTCCTCTCATCTCTGCCAAATTTTAGTCTCTAGGGCATAACCATGGTCTCGTCCCCCAGTCTCTTTTCCTGGTCTCATGCTCTAGTCTTATAAACCTGCTTCCAAGCTTTTCTTTCATTCTATTCCAATGGAACACACAATCCAGTTCTCATGGCATCTTAAAAGCAAGAATACAAATGAACCAGAACAACATAGTGTCTTCCTGTATTCCTGATCCTTTTTCTCACCAACCCAATTAGTCTTGCTTGTTCAGTCAGTCACTCAGAGTACAAACTCCTCAGGGCAGGAAGCAAGTTTGGCTGCATATCAGAAGACTTACATACATTTGGCATTATGGATAGCAAAGACTTTTTGGTGCGTCATTGGTCATAAGTGAACAGGATTTTAATTTTTTATTTTTTTAAAACAAGAGAAGCGTTGGTTGGCAGCAGCCCCTGTCCGGGAGGGACAGACCCACACAAGCCAGAACTAAGCTAGACTGCCTACCCTCCTGACTCCCAATACACTTTAAATGCAGAACCGCAGCAAGTTTCTTGGTCCTTAACCAAGGGACGGCATCATTAGCAGCACAGCAACCCCCAACATTATACTAGAACACAGGATCAGAACTCATTAAGGGAAAATGTTACTGAACCATTTATTTCATATTCATGGTAGTATGATTAGGAAGAGAGATTTTCAACGTACACACACATTTGGTAATCTACCTGTTTCGAGCAGGAGACTTCCCTGGATCCTCCTGTACAGACACAAGGCGTGTTGACAGTGTAGTAGTTGAAGAGTCTACATGAATCAGACTGCAAAAAAAGGAGCTCTGTTAAGAGAACCACCATGACAAGAACCACTAACAACAGTCCCTGTTAAAACAATATCAAGTGTACCATTGTTATCCCAAATAGTAAGTTAAAAGCCAGAACACAAGGCAAAAAGTTCCTTCATAATACCAGCCCAAGCCCATTTGTCTACAGAGACTGACTTGGGTTTCTCCCTCTCAATGTTAATCTAAGGTACACCATGCCATTGAATCTCCACTGTGGGGGAGGAGGAGAGGACTAATGGGAGACTTCCCCGTCCACTTGCCTTAAGCTTCTTTTTCCACTGGAGTACTGGAGTCCATGAAAGAGTGATCAGTGGTCTAGACCCACTAAATCAATCCCTGGGGAATCAACTACAGGCAGTCCCCGGGTTACGTACAAGATAGGGACTGTAGGTTTGTTCTTAAGTTGAATCTGTATGTAAGTCGGAACTGGAGTCCAGATTCAGCCGCTGCTGAAACTGACCAGCAGCTGACTACAGGAAGCCCGAGGCAGAGTTGCTCTGCCCCGGGCTTCCTGGAATCAGCCTCTGATCAGTTTCAACAGGCTGAATCTGGACGCCAGTTCTGACTTACATACAGATTCAACTTAAGAACCCCAGGCATCCCCAAGTCAGCTGCTGCTGAAACCGATCAGCGCTGATTCCAGGAAGCCCAGGGCAGAGCAGCTTTGCCTCGGGCTTCTTGTAGTCAGCGCTGGTCCGTTTCAGCAGCGGCTG